GCTGCGCACTGTTTCCAGGGGGTAGGGAAAAGGCTGCTGAAGTTTAACCTGAGCTTGCTCTAGCAATGCTTTCTCCTAATACAGTTTGAACCTCTCAAATTCCAGACCACTCTCGTCCAGAAACAGCCGTCGTCCGGAATGATGGTAGTTAGCCCGGTGTCCGCTTTTCACGGGTGTGGCCAACTTTCCCGTGGTCCCATACAGTTTGTTTACCGCCCCCGTCCTGGCTCTCAGTGTTCGGGCTGGTATTTAGCTCCAATTTACCCCCGAATGTCTTCTCAGAGCCCAGCAAGCAGGGGCAGTGCTGGTGATGCTGCTACACAATCTTCACCTTTGGGAGTCCAGAAAATTCTCTCGTTTGGAACTGGTCAGGTCCCGAGGGTGCCGGATTAGGGAGGTTCAACCTGTATAGACTGAGAGCGGGCTGGCTGATTCTATGGCCTGGAGGAGTGCTTTCTTCATGGGTGGGGCTCGCCTTGTGATCCCGACCTGTTCCACAGCTGGGAAGACAGCGACAGGCGACCCCAGAGGGTGCTTGTTAGGTCTGTCTGAGGGTGATCTGTCTGAGGGCCTTAGCAGGATGACCTGCAGCATGGCTCCTAGAGAAACAGTACCTCTTGCAAGTAGCTCCCCTAGCTAATGGCCAGCACTAACACCAGCCACTGGCAGAAGATGGGATGCTGGGCTAGAGGGGCCACGTGCCTGACCCCGTGTGGCCATTTGTATGTTCTAGACGTGGACCCTCACTATGCTAGCCTGGAGCCAGCTCTCCTGGGCATCAGCCCCGGGCCACCGAGGAGGTCAGCCCGCAAGCCGGAAGTCAGGGCCCCCGGGAGCGGAATGCCACCGACTGCCCGCCCAAGGAGATGACTGAGGCCAGAGCTGCGAGGCTGGAGGGTGTGCGGCGCTGGCACGTGCTGCGGTAAGCAGGAAAGCGGGACCGGCGTCCCTCACCCCAGAACATGAGGGAGGCGAGGCCCCGGCACATGGCACTGCGGATGGGGCTGGAGGAGAACAGACAAACCTGGAAGCAGTGGAAAGGTCAGGTCAAAGGGAGCCAGATCTGTGTGGGCGAAGGCCGAGCCCCGAGGGCCTGGAGGAACATGAAAACTGACTCCGGGATCTCCTGCTCCACGTTCCTCCCCGGATTTTGCACCAGGTAAGTGCAAGACTCTAGGGCCTGGAAGGCGGGGGCTCGGAGGACCTCCCAGGTTGGACAATCCAGTGCTGCACTCGGGGGCAGCCGTGGGGGAGACGAGGCAGATCGCTCCTACTCCTACTCACCGGGCTGTACCGGGACGTTCATGCAGCTGGCGAGAGCGCCCGCGGCTGCAATGCAGGCCGTCACTTTGCTGGGGCTGGAGAGGTCGCCCCGGCTGAGCGCCTGGCGGTGCTCCTCACTAAGGTCCAGGTTACTCTGATCAAAACCCAAGGGAGCTGAGTTAATGCACGGTGCCCCCCTGCCCTTTCCGCGGCTCAGCTTGATGTCCCGTACCCAGGCAGGATGGGTGCTCTCTGCTTTCATTGGCAGGATGCTACGGGAAGCTGCCAGGCTGCATTCCCCGTCAATACACCATGCAGCCGAGCCCCCTTCAAACAGAATGGTCAGCAGCATAGAAACGGCAGTGCTCGGGATCCCGACACAGGAGAGACCCAGGGCTCCGCGGTGCTAGGGGTTGGCCAAACACATAACATGCAGGCAGGCCCTGCCCCAGGCGATGTCAAGTTGAGAGGGTTGTGGGCACCCATGGCCCCTATTTTAGCACCCGGCAGCGGTGCAGAACCCTCACGCCAGCGTTCTCGCTCCCCTCTGAGTCACATGCTTATCGGTTGCGGGGAGGCAGCGCAATCCTGGAAGCGGATTGGCTGGTGAGAACAATTTCAGGCAAATGTGGTCCGGGGGCAAAAAGGTGAACCTTTCGCTACCTCCCCCCCCCACCATGGTCCCTGCTGATTGGAGCTGCGCCCCGGCTGCAGTGACCGTTAATGCTGCAGCTGTGGCCATGCCCGAAAGGGGCCCCGAGCACCTCGGTCGCTACTGATAAAGCTCTGGTTTTGTTGTGAAACCACATGCCACTCGGTGCTCCTCTCCGCCTCCTGCTTAGCCAGCAGCCCAGCACGCCCCACCCCGCCCCGCCCGGCTGGTCCCCCGC